CATCCTCAGGAGGACGTTCAGCAGCAGCGCGAAAAGCAGGAGGAACATTACCACTCAGAGAACTCATGCCAGCACCAGGGTATTCACCCGAAAGGCCTCGGGAGAGCTCAGGGCGAACAGTATTCTCAGGAGGTCGAGGGCTTGGAAGGCCGTCAGCATTACCACTCAGAGAACTCAAGCCAGCGCCATTCGTCAACGATGTAGCGCCAGCAGCATCCCCAGGGGGTCCCAAAAGTGTGGTGCCATCAGCACGCTCAGAAGAAATCATACCAGCACTAGCGCCCACGATGGTAGAGCCAGCATCACTGGAAGAAACATAGCCAACACCATCTTGCCCATCGGTAGAGCCAGCATCAATCACCAAGGTCTGAGGTGCACCAGCGAGTGAAGAAAAAGAACTGAACCACTCCCCAGGCTCGTCGATCCCACGCCGCGTGCATCCACTCCAGCGGTCGGTACTCCGATCCCACCGATGCCACAGGGGCGAGGTGAGACCGAAATGCGTGCCGCTGGAGGTTCCGTCAATGGACTCACTTGCCCTCGAGCCTGTCGAGCAACTTCTGAGCGTCCCTCTCGAGGGCCCCTTCCGGGGCAGCGCCAAACTTGCGAATGCCCCCGATCGTCAGAAAGTACTTGATGAGCGCGGGCTCGAGCGCAGCCTGGGACGAGTCGACGGCGAAGGTCACGCGGTGCAACGACTGCTTGCCCTCCTGTTTGCGGGTCGGCCTGATGCGGCAGGCGCGGACGCTGGGCGCCACTGCCTCGAGCTCGTTGGTCATGATGTAGGAGCTCCAGTAGGCCGAGATCGTGGCCCTGGCGTCTTGCGGGCACCGTTCGTCGGCGCCGATTGCACGGAGCATCGCCGCCCACACCTGCACGAACGGGGGCCCAAGAGGCTTGGCGTCGCTGCTGCCCTCGGACTTGCGCCTCTTGGCCTCCTCGTGGTAGGCTTTGCCTGCCGCTACTGCGGCGACGATCACGGCGGCCTCGGACGACGCGAGAAAGGCGACGAATACCACTCCACAAATCTCTCGAAGCTCGGCGGCGTTGCTGAGGGCCAGGCGCGCGAGGATCGCGACGAGGGCCTTCAACGTGCCTCCGTTGCCCTTGCCCTCCCCGACTGCTTGCTCGAGAAGGCGGGCCGACTTGCGGCGGGGCTCGCCGTCGGCGTCGGTTGCCGACGCGGCTGCGGGGGCCGCGAGCATCCAGCTGGGCGTCGACTCCATCGCTCTCAGGAAGAGGTGGAAGCGGACACGGCACAAGATGAGCGCGCAGGTGAACCTGGAGATCGGCCAAAACGCCAGCGGAGAAAGGGCATAGGGGACAAGTCAAACTCGACGGCATTCGGGCCTCGGCTAAATTTCGAATCCGATCTCGTAGGCAATCGCCGCGAACCAGACTCCGAGCTAGATGTCGTCGGGCACTCTCGGGATGAGCGAAAGTAGCCAAGCACGCGCAACATTGATTGGTGACCGTGACGACGTGAGCCAAGGACCGACACCCTTGGTGATTGATAGTATGATTATGTAGCGCTCGTCGATCGGGTAAGGACTTGCCACATCTAGTGTCGTCCGCATTCATTAACATACAGGTAAACTTGGCAGCACTCACAACCTCGCTCTCTAGCGCGTCCACGGGAACAGGCGCAGACCCTGGAGGAGGAACGCGCACCGAAAGAGCCGACGCGCGAAGTTGACGCACATCAATCCTAAGAAACTCATCTGCATACTCAGGATCAGCAAATAGAAGGAAATAGCGTCGATCAAGCCAGCTAAGTAACGAAGCCCCATCTTCAAGCTCCGAGAGACTATCAATATCAGCAACGAAACGAGCCGCCCAAGAAGGCGCACCCGCACCAAGACGACCACTAGGTAACACAACCATAGAGCGAGCCAGAATACGGCCACCAAAGCCCCCAAACATACTGGCCAGAACCTGTCGGTGAGCCCCTGGAACCCGAGCGAAACTCTGCCGCAACCGAAGGCGACGGATACGAAGCTCCAACTCGAGCGGGACGAACCTCCACCACCTGAGGACGGCCTCAGACGACAAAGACGTAGGGTGTGAGGACTCATACCACGTAGTGGCCTGGCCTTGCATAGCTTTGCGGCAATACATAGTGACAGTAGTTTGCAGTCGACGCAGTTGCTGGGGACTGGGTAAGAACGCCTCCAAACCAGATAACGCCACATTATAAATCTTAGATATCAGTAAACATCGCCGCAGCCTATGAGGAACACCCCGAAGAGTCCAGAAGCCACCCATGGAACACCAGGACTGCCGAAGAGCGCTCAAGCGGGACCTAAGCTCTGCCTCGAAGCTGGTAGGATTGCTGCACATCCAGGCCCCCGAGCTTTTCGCTTCCAGAACGGACTTCCCAGGAAACGTGATGCGACCAGACTTGGCGGATCTCAAACATCGCCCCGACTCATCTCCCCAGACGTGCAGCAACGTGTCCTGCTTACTCAAGTTCTGGGCAAACCCCACCTCGGACAGGAAGGAATCGAGGGAGGCGTTGGGCCGTCGACTAAGTTCCACAAGACCCTCCAGCTCATCGTACCGAGGAAGAACCAACTTGTGTTGTCAAGTCATCGGCATACTTGGTAAGGGGGCAGTCGATGCGCAGCGGCAAGGGAGCAATCTGCCCATTGACCAGCACAAACAACTTCGCACACAGTAAGTCGGCCAGCGGATCCCAGCTCCGCTGGGCAGCAAGCCAACCTTCAACAGGTTTGATGAAGGTCCTCAAAAAAGTATTCACGGCGAACTCGTCCCCCATCAATCCTCCACTCCCAGGTGCCATGTGTATGTCCGTGTCGTGTCCCCGAAGAGTGATGAGTGCGCTACGAAGCCTATGCAGACCGAACCTCGAAGTGTTCTGCATGATAAGGTCAGGGATCGCGCGTTCCATATGTGCCCTAGAACTGCTAGCGAACGCGTTCGTGGGGTCGTGCGCATTCGTGATAAATCGGTACCCCTCCTTCTTCAGCCATTCTCCCGTGATCCCCTGGACAATCAGAGCACACTCCCGACGGCGAAACCGAAGAAACCCATGATCTTGATCGGTACCCTGCAGGGGGCCCTTCTGGGCCATAGCTCCAGACGTCCAGGGCTTGCCAAATTGATCCAATAGATGTATCCAGCGGGTTTTGCCGTCAGGCCGAGGAAGAAGGGCGCCGCGGCTGCGGTTCCAGAACACAGGGACCTGGCCGCAGGCGCGAATACGTGCTAGTCCAGACACCACAAGCTCCTGGAGCTCCTGAAGATCATGAGGGCATCGATCGGCCCCAACTCCCAGAGGTTGATTGTCCAGATTTCGCCGGGGAAAAAAGACGAGCCACCATAGCTCCAGCGGCGGTGACCATTCAGGAACGGCTCGTCGTTTACCAGCCTTGGAAACACGGTATCTGATAGCACGGCAATCACGCCTAGCAGCAACATAGTGTTCATCAAGAAGAGTCGTGGGCCCAGGAACGCGGGCAATCCACTGAGCGCGCCAAGCACGCCAATCTGGTACAGGATGCGCAGACATGCCCCCCTCGGGGCTAGGACGGGAGAAAAGCTCTTTCAACTGCGCAGCGTCGTCAGCCGTGCCACGGATCGTACTATAGTCACGCCTCTTGGGCCCAAAACGAGAACCCGCTGTAGGTGCCCCCGTGTGCGTGTGTAGGCCTCGGCTTGGTCCCGTAGGGAGGGGGGGAGAATTTCAGGGGGCAGAGTCTGCCAGAGAGCGGATGCATATGGGCCTGGGCCGATGCATCTCGCGCACCAGGCAGCGCCCTCGTCGTCGGGGCCAGCGGTGATCCACACGTTTCTGGCTGGTGCTCCACATGGGCACCTGTGTGGTCTTCTTTCGTCGTCGCCCCTTCGTCTTGCCGAGCCAAGTAGACCGTTGCTGAGGACCCTAATCACGTGGTGCGCTTCAGTGAAAGAGGTGCAGTGGTGCAGCAAATGCCATTCCTCCCCGTTGGAAGGTTGCCATATCCTCCCTTGGCTGGTGTCCAGGAGCCATCTTGTGAGGTTGCGGCTGTGCATCTGGGCCCATGCAGCCGTGTAGGAGATCCTGCCAAACTGTTTACCTTCAAGGAGGTAGGGTTGCGGCTTAGCGCGCTGCAGGGCCCGAGCGGCTTTCCGTTCGGAGATCATCTTGGGTCAGGGGGGGAACGCCTCGGGATCCTGAGCTGCCTGGTGGGGATACGCGAAGCGTCAACACTAAAAAATAGCCTCATGAGCCTGCTCGGGCGGATCCCGATCTTCGGTTTGACGGGTGTCCCCCTCTTCGTTCCACTGCGTGCCTCCACACTTCGCTTAATACTGCAACTCGCCTGGGCGTCGTTGCTGGATGGGCTGATGGGGATACGCCAGCCGTCGCGCTGAAAAATGGAAGGCCAACGCGCGGAGGAACGCGTCTAACCCCGGCCGCGGCAATGGGACAATCCCCAAACATGAGACGTCCTGATGTTTTCAGTGCGGCATCTCCGAAGTCCCGACCGGTTCCCCGGGGCCGGTTTTTCATCCTGAATCGTTTTTTGACGCTCCGGGGGGCCGGCGAGGGCCGCCAGGGGTCGAAAATAACGAAAAGCTTGCCGCCCTGATTTTTTCAAGACGCGATGATGTCTGGGTCTGCTTACCAGTATAGGAACAGGCATATGCTCGGTGCAAGCTGTGGCAGGGCGCCCACGAAGCGCCCGCCAGGCAAAACCCCGGCATGCCCGCCCGCACGAGGCGCCCACGAAGTGCCCACGGGGCGAAGCCCCAGCCCGCCCGCCCGATCGCGTCGTACCGACGCTGGCGCTGGTTCCTGACTCCGCGGGGATCGTTCAGACTGAAGCGATCGGCCCTGTCAGGGAGGCCAGATCGTTCAAGGATGGTCGGTTGCTGCATCCGCGGCCCCACGGGCCCCGACCCCTTCCCTGGGGGTAGTCTTTCGCCCTGGACCCGCTTTTGATGGTCCCTGGGTCCCGACAACGGTCCCCGGAAGCCGAAGTCGAGGAACCCCGCCCGGATCGAGCCCTTCAGATCGCCAAAGATCTGGGACGCTGACGACGCCAAGGAGACGACGGCCAGGGCGATGGCGACCGCGGCGGCTTTTGCTCGGCGCGGCGCCATGGCCACAGGCCCCGCCACAGCAGCTCCCGCCGCCCGCTGCTCGAGCGAGTCTCCCCAGCGCTGGCGGCCAGGTGCAGGTCGCGCCAGGCGGACGCCACGCCCTCCCCCCGCATGTTGAAGAGCCAGACGAAACGCACGCCCCCGCACGAGGCGCAGTGAAAGTCCTCCCGCTCTGTCAGGGCCAGGCCGTCCACGCGCACCCCCACCACCTGCGGAGGGTCAGCGTTTCAGGGGGGGGGCCAGCTCAGGGGGAGGTACATCGACCTGGGGCCGGTGATACGTCGCCGACAGATCGGTGATTTGGCCCCCGATGGCGAATCCGCACGTTCCGGGGCGGGGGGTCGGCGCGACAAGGGGGTGGCGCGATGGGGGAGGCCTTCTGAGAAGATGTGTGTGGGAGCTGCCAAAAGTGTGGGAGCTGCAAGGGGTGGCTTCTTAGAAGCCTGCCTGGCTTCTCAGACGTGTTTTCACAAGCCCCCAAGGCATTCTGATAAGGCCCATGCTTTCTAAGAAACCCCGTCCGCCTTCTTAGTAAGCCGTCCCCCTCGGTCCACTCCCTTGTGCGCGCCTGGGCCCACGGTCGGGAACTTTTGTGGGACGGGAGGCTGGAAAAGTCAAGACGCAGACGCTTGGTGACCGGGACGAGGATAGCGTGTCGCGCCGAAGCGTGGTGGGCCAGAACCGGCAGCGCGACACGCTAAGCCAAAGTTCCCGAGCGTATCTTGGAGGCGACCCGAGGGTCTGAACTGGATGCGCCTCGAGAAAATCTGTGAAGAAGGGGGGATGATTGCAAATCCGCTGAAAATCGGTCCCAAATCGCTGCCAAGGTCCATCTGGTGGAATTTTTCACCCTGGACTCGTTTTTAGCGGTCCCAGGGCCCGAAGACGGCCCCCAGAGGCTGAAAAAGGCAGCGAAACATGGGCGAATCTCGAACTTCGCCCCCCCTGTCCTGCTGGCCGGAATCAATACTGGGCCACCTGAGAAACCCACGCACGCACGGACGCAAGAAGCCGCCCAGACGACGCATCGGCAAGCTAGAAATGGAGGCCAAGAGAAATGGACGCGGAACGCGGGCACCGACACTGTCGGTACGGGCGGCGGGCTGTGCGCAGCCGACGGCCCAGCTCGAAGGCCAAGCGAAACGAAGAAACATACGTGACTGGAAGCGTAGCGGCACACTGACACTGCACACGAATCAGCGCTGAGCGGCTGACCTCAGGCCCCAGGCCGACTCCGGAGCTAATTCTTCGTACGGGGTCGTTTCTTGACGATCCCCCAGGGCCCGGCGACGGACCCCAAAGGCAGAAGATGGAGAAAAACCGCCGTCCTGATTTTGTTCAGGGAGCGAACGCGTCTGGGGAACCAATCCCCCCCTGACATTGCCCCTGACACCTGCGTACCGTCCCGATTTTTTCGAGACGCGGGCCCCCGACCTCTCGACCATCTCCCCAAGACCGTTGTTTCATCCCGTGCCGTTTGTTGGCGGTCCCGAGGCCCAGTGGAGGCCCCGAGGGGTCGAAAACTACGAAACAGTCTCCGTCCAGATTTTTTCGAAATGCTGGGTGCCTGGGTCTGCCCCCCTGACGTTGCCCCCGACGCCTGCGCGCCATCCCAGTCCAGCTGCAGCGACAGCGACAGGAAGCCGTCGGGGCCGCAGGGCAGGTCCTGCAGGCGGTGCTCGAGCATGCTCCAGGGCCCTCTGCACCAGGACATTGATACGGTCGGGAGTTTGGCGTGTCGCCGCGGCGGCCCCGGCGAGACGCTATGCCCTGCAAGCCAAGCGCAGCGTGCACGTCCGCTCCGAGGGGCGGGGGGCTCGGAAAGGCCCGGGACGTTGAAGCCTGGGGACTGGGAAGTGCATAGCGTGCCGCGCCGAAGCGTGGTGGGCCAGAACAGGCAGAGCGACACGCTATCCAAAAGTTCCCGACCGTGGTCAGGACTTTTGGACACTCCACCCGAGCGACAAAGAAAAGGGTCAGAGCGACCCTGAGCCGCGGGCCGCCATCGCGGCCCGAGACTTTGGAAACGAGGGCGCTCACGCGCGACCTTGCGCGGGTAGCTTGCGCGCTAATGTCCGTGACGACGACACCGTTTTTTTTATTTGTTTTGTTTTTTTGTTTATCATCGGCCACCTGACCCCCCCCCCAAAAAAAACGAAAAGGGGAGACTCCGCCGACCCCTTGGGGTCTACGGCGTGTGAGACTGCTGCCCCTCCCCAAACCCCTCCCCAGGGGGGCTCAGTCTGGCCGGTTTGGATGGGGGGCGTGGGGGGCTGTGCGAAATGGGCCGGCGGACCTGGCGGCCCCAGCAGCCTCAGAAATGCTCATGGACTGCACGGTTTCGGAATGACTCCCACGGGTTCCTGGACGATCCCAGATGGCACCCAGTCGCCGTGTGATAGCTTCAAGATAACCCACGAAGCCTCCAAGACTCCCCCACGCGATCGCACACGGGGGCCCCAGCAAGCACAAATTCGCCCATCCCCCGGGGAAACCTAACATTTTTGGCAGACTGCTCCAGAGGCCCAAGACAGCGACCCGAGATGGGCAAAGAGGCCTTCAGGAGGGCCCTATGACGGCTCCAGGCGGCCATGGGGCGGCCCAATAGGCGCCCAAGAAAGCCCAAGAGGATCCCGAGACGGGCTCAATACCCTTCAAGATGGCCCCATGACGGCCCAACACGGGCCCCTCCCAGCCCATGATGGCCCCACTACGGCCCACCGGGCGCCGCAGACGGCCCAGGAGGGCCCCCAGAGGCCCGGTAGACGCCCCAAGATGGCTCCCAAAGGACTCCCCCACAAGGGCCCCAACAAAGGAAACCTTGCCCTATTCCCCAAAAACATGAGAGACTTGCACGTTTGGCCTGACCTGCGACCCGAGACGGGCCAAGAGGCCTCACACATTGCCCGACGACAGATCCTGGTGGCCCTTGGCCGGCCCCGGAGACGCCCAAGATAGCACAGAGGATCTCGATCAGGCCCCACGACAATCCAAGATGGTCATAGACGACCCAACAAGGGCCCCAATGAACCCAAAATGGCCCCAATACGGACCGCCAGGCGCTGCAAACGGCCCAAGTGCTCCATAGACGCCCTGTAGACGCCCCCGGATGGCTCCAAGGGAATCCCCACGATGGCCTCCGCAAGAAAAGATGACTTGTGGGGCAATCTGCTTCAAAGGCCCTCAACGTCGACGCGAAACGGGCCAAGAGGCCCCGTAGAGGGCCCTACGACGGTTCCAGGTGGTCCAGGGGCGGTCCAACATGTCCCTGCACGCCCCGAGAGGACGCCGAGAAAGGCCCAAGCCTGCCAAACAATGGCGCCATGACAGCCCCACTAGGGCCCGACCCATGCCAAAACGGCCCGAACACGGCCCACAAGGCACCGCAGACGGCGCCGAAAAGCCTCCTGCACAATCCCAGATGGCACCGAATCGCCCTGAGGTTACTTCTGCCCCCGCCTACGGCGACCTGCCATCGTCTGTTCTGTGATTCCGCGCGCACGCTTGCGGGCGGCAGTCACCGTGGCGCAGAACCCCACGGTAGACGAGCAGGGTGAACCACCCAACGCCCAGCCTTTACGTGCTCTGGACGTGCACCCCGCGAAGCAGAGCGGCAGCGTTTTCCGCGGAAGCTGTAATATAGCGTATCCAAGATATCCAATGCTTGCATCAGTGCAACATGAAGTATTATTGTAATCCGCCGGCCCCCTTATGGGGCCACCAGGCTGTAGGACCAGGGTTTGCTGTTCCCTGCGCCAGTACCAGTTTCCAGTTTCCACTGTTACAATTCTGCTTTATGCTGCTTACTATTCCTTGTTGTAGATCGCGCGAGGGGGGGAGCCGAAAACTATCAAATCTAGCGTCTCCTGGGAAGGTTCTCCGAATTTCTGAGGGGGTCGGGATTGACACCCCTCACGCAGATCGGCGGGGTCAGGGTCCAAAAACAAATGAGATTTGCCACATTTCTGAAATTCGGCGGCACCCCTCACGCAGATCCTCGGGGTCAAGGTTAATTCTCCCCCCCCCCCGGACTTATTGCTTCCCCCTGGGATAATATGATTTCATATTTTTTCTGCACACTCGTCCATCCTAAATATGAAACCATACCATCCCAGGCAGGCCGGGTTCCCCCCCTGAGGTTCCCTTGTAAAAAAACACTGTGCGGTGACATTTTTTGTTCCAACATAGCACTTTTTCGCGAATCCCTTCCAAAAAATGGGACGAAGTACACACGCGCGCGTCGTCGCGCGCGCATGCCGAAATCCTTCAAAAACCCTCGGCGTCGGAAGGATTTCGCAATCGAGTTTCCAAAAAACATACAAAAACACTTGGTGTCGCAACACTGATTTGCTAAAAAAGCTTCCGCGCGAGCTCTTGCGAAATCTTAACAAAACCACAGGTTTTTCAAGATTTTCACAAAATGCTACAAAACGGGCTTCGCGCGCGCGCATGTCGAAATCTGTCGAACGCCCTTGCGCGTGTGCCGTCGCGAAAATCCTCTGCAAAAAATGGGACGAAGTGCAGACGCGCGCGTCGTCGCGGGCGTATGCCGAAAACCTTCAAACCAATCGGTTTCGGAAGGATTTCAAAATCGTGCGTCCAAAGAACCTACAAAAACCCAAGGTTTCGCAACACGGATTTGCAACAAAAGCGCGCGCGCGCGCTCTTGCGTCGTCGTCGTCGTCGTCGTCGTCGCCGTCCTCCCTCCTCCCGCGTCGTCGTCGTCGTCGTCGTCGTCGTCGTCGCCTACGTCGTCCTCTGTCTTTTCTCGTGTTCGTCGTCGTCGTCCTCTTTGGCGTCGTGGTCGTTTCCGTCGTCGTTGTCGCCGTGGTCGTCCTTCCTCCTCCTCCCACGTCGTCGTCGTCGTCCGTCGTCGGCGTCTCGTCGTCGTCCCTCCTATTTCGTCGCCGTCGTCGTCGTCGTTGTCGTCGTCGTCTTCGCTCCTCCCTCGTCGTTGTCGTCGTCAGCGTCGCCGTCCTTCCTCCTTCGTCGTCGTTCGCGTCGTCGCCGTCCTCCCTCCTCCCTCGTCGTTGTCGTCGTTGTCGTCGTTGTCGCCGTCGTCGTCCTTCCTCCTCCCTCGTCGTCGCCTTCGTTGGCGTCGTCGTCGTCGTCTTCGTCGTCGTCGGCGTCGTTGTCGTCGTCGAAGTCGTCGGGGACGTCGTCGGGGTCGTCCTAGTCGTTGTCGTCGGTGTCGTCGTAGTCGGTCTTAAGAGGTTTTGCAAACCAAGTTGCGGGTGGGTGGGTGGGATGTTTGCGCGAGCAGTAGAGATGACGGCTTCAAGTTCAGCAGAGTGGAAACAACCCATAAGATTTGCCAAATTTTTGAAATTCGGCGGCGCCCCTCACGCAGATCGGCGGTGTCAGAGTCCAAATACTTGTAAGATTTGCAACATTTCTGAAATTCGGTGGCACCCCTCACGCAGATCGGCGGGGTCAGGGTCGAAAAACCCATACGATTTACCACATTTCTGAAATTCGGTGGCACCCCTCACGCAGATCTGCGGGGTCAGGGTAGAAAAACCAATGGGATTTATCACATTTCTGAAATTCGGCGGCACCCCTCGCGCAGATCGGCGGAGTCAGGTTCGAAAGATTAATTGGCTTTGCCACATGTTTGAAATTCGGCGGCACCCCTCACGCAGATCGGCGGGGTTAGTCGAACGACTGATGGGATTTGCCACATTTCTGAAATTCGGTGGCACCCCTCACGCAGATCTGCTGGGTCAGAGTAGAAAAACCAATGGGATTTGCCACGTTTCTGAAATTCGGCGGCACCCCTCGCGCAGATCGGCGGAGTCAGGCTCGAAAGATTAACGGGCTTTGCCACATGTTTGAAATTTGGCGGCACCCCTCACGTAGATCGGCGGAGTCAAGGTCATGGGATTTGTCACATTTCTGAAATTCGGCGGCACCCCTCATTCAGATCGGCGGGGTCAGAGTCCAAAAACCAATGGGATTTACCATATTTCTGAAATTCGGCGGCACACCTCACGCATATCAGCAGTGTCAGGGTCGACAAACCCATGGGATTTGCCACATGTCCGAAATTATGTGGGAAACCTTAGTGCACTGCATACGGGGGCAGGTTCAAAATGCGACACTGAGTTCAGCAATCTCATCAGAATCTCAATTTCTCTTGCCGATGCTGCTTCACGGCGGCGCCGAGGTCTCATGACTTCGCTCTTGCATTGCCCATTATCCGAGAGAGGGGGGCGGCGGCAGGGGGCTGAGCCCTTACGGATATTTTGCAACATGATGTGCCCCCATAGCCCCTCCCCGAGGCCACGCCACTTCCATCGACCAGGATACCCCCCCCTCCCTTCTGGGCCCCCAGAACCTGCAAAGACCGATGGCAATCTGTGATGTCGGCCTCTTTGGGGGCCTCCTCGGGGCCCAAGGAAAGAGGGCCTCCTGACGGCTCGCGATGGCCCTCAACACGGCCCACGGCTGCAGCTTTCGCAGGCGCGCCCAAATCCTGGTCTACCAAAGGCCCCGCTTTCGTGAAAGGGCCCAGGGATACACAATAGACACACGCACACCAGGATCCCCCATATCTTTCAATATTTTCTGGATGCTCGTCTTCCCCTCCGCTTCCCATGTTTTCCACATTTTCCGTGGAATCGACACTTATTTGTGTCTGTGTGTGTGTGTCCCCTCCTGATTTAGGGGCCCTGAATGTTGACCCACAGGGAGCAGACCGGCGCGCCGACCAGGTCCCGCCGCCGCTCGACGTACACCCACAAGCAGGGGCGAGCCCTCGCATTGGCACGGGGGAAACCCAAACCTCCGAATTGGGCGTCGCTGAATGGGGGGCGCTAGATGGGGGGGGAGAAAGGTGCACTTTTCGGGCCCGAGAGGCCCGCACTTTTCGGGCCCCAGAGGCCCCCTGTTGGGCCCTAAAGGGTCCCATCCCTGCAGCCCTCGCTGCCCCCCCCATGTACCGCCCCTATTTCATTTCGCGACGCCCAACCGACGATCACATTTCTCGCTCCAGCTCGTTGTTGGGGCCCGTCATTGGGCACTGGGGCCATCAAAAATGCAGCCGGAACGACAAACCCTCTAGGAGGATGGAACTCTGGCGCCGCGGATTGAAAAAACCTCGCGTGCGCGAGCCTCCGGTCCAGGCAGCCCCAGGGGGCGGGGAAGGCCCGCGGGGCCCGATGGGGCGCCCGAACAACGACCCTGAGATTCGACGTCACGGACAATTCAACATCGTAGAACATCGCAACCAGAGCCTTATAGACCCCATCGTTCTGCTGCATTTTGCGAGCCGGATCGTCCGCCGAAGGTCTCGGGGCCCAAGGTAGGTCGAAATCGCCGAGGGCGACGCCAGGAGAAAGACCCTCCAAGGGCACCTTTCCTGCGCGCCGTCCTCGCGTCGGCCAACACCAGGTTCCCCACCGCGCAGTCGCCGTCCCCCGCCGCGGACACGGCCAGGCGCACGCGCACCTCAGTGACGCGGTGGCTGCCCCGCAGGTCGCAGACGAGCCGGTGGCCCGCGCCCTGCAGCCACAGCCTGGGTCGCGCCGGCGCAGAAACACACGAGTGACGCAAGGAGCTGGGTCTTACAGTGGACGCCAGTCCACAAGAAACCTTCCACAAGAAACCCGACCCTGAGACCCCAGGACGTCCACCGATTGTTGGTGAAGGAACCTCACGCCTCCCATCGCAAAGCCATCGAAACCCAAGAAACCCAGGGCACCCTGGAGGCAAGCAGGGTGTTTCCTGGCATGGACCTCCACTGTATACGCGAAGCTTCATGGCAGCCTTCCCTGAGATCCGGGCGTTGCACTTTTTATTGCACTGGGCGCTTTCGCCCCTCTTCGGGCCCCAGGACCATCACAGATCGACCCAGCTCGAGAAATGCAGCATAAAAATAAGGTCTATGGCTCCAACCGTCGTTTTTGTTTTTCGGACGACGTCGGAGCTCGGGGTTACACGGAGGCTTACGTAGGCCGCTGGCGCGACATGCTATATTGAAAACGAGAACGCCTGCGCGCCATCTTACGCAGGCAGCTTGTGCTCGAATGCCCGCGCCTTCGACCCCGTTACCTTCTATCGCCCACGCGATCTTCGGCGATGGAACTTCTTGCAGGAGCGTGATCCACTGTCGCTGGCCTCAAACATTTATATAAAAGGGGGGGGTTTTCGAAACTGGGGGCTCCCCCTCCCAATCCCGCCTTTCCCCCCCCTGGAACCGGAAGGTCACCCCCCCAACCCTTTCGCGAAAGGGGGGGGTAACGACCCCCCCCTGCGCAAAGAGGGAAGGTGAGGTAATGAAACCCCCGCCACCGTCGTCGCCGCTGCCACCGTCGTCGTCGTCGTCGTCCTCGCGGTCGTCGTCGTCGTCGTCCTCGCGGTCGTCGTCGTCGTCGTCGTCGGCGTCGTCGTGGTGGTCGTGGTCGTGGTCGTGGTCGTGGTCGTGGTCGTGGTCGTGGTCGTCGTGGTCGTGGTCGTCGTCGTGGTCGTCGTCGTCGTCGACGTCGTGGTCGTGGTCTTCGTCGTGGTCGACGTCGTCGCCGACGTCGTGGTCGTGGTCGTGGTCGTGGTCATGGTCGTGGTCGCGGTCGTGGTCGCGGTCGTGGTCGTGGTCGTGGTTGTGGTCGTCGTCGACGTCGTGGTCGTGGTCGTGGTCGTTGTCGTGGTCGTGGTCGTCGTCGTGGTCGCCGTCTTGGTGCCGTCGTTGTCGTCGTGGTCGCCGCCTCCGTCGTGGTTGTCGTTGTCTGTCCCGCCCGACCCGACCCGACCCGACCCGAACCGACCCGACCCGTCCGCCGTCGTTGTCGTCGTCGTCGTCGTCGTCGTCGTCGGTCGTCGGTCGTCGGTCGTCGGTCGTCGGTCGTCGGTCGTCGGTCGGTCGTTGGTCGTCGGTCGGTCGTTTGCCGTCGTCGTCTGGCGTCCGTCGTTGTCGTCGTCGTCGTCACCGTCGTCGTTTGCCGTCGTCGTCCGTCGTCCGTCGTCGTCGTCGTCGTCGTCGTCGTCGTCGTCGTCGTCGTCGTCGTCGTCGTCGTCATCGTCGTCGTTGTCGTCATCGTCGTTGTTCTTCGTCGTCGTCGTCGTCGTCGTCGTCGTCCGTTGTCGTCGTCGTCGTTTGCCGCTCAACCCCCCCTCAACAATTTTCTGGGGTGGGAGGGGTGTCCGGACCCCCCCCTTCCCTCCGTCGTTTTGGGGGCGGGGTGGGGGTGCTTGAAGCCCTCCATGCCAGCATCGTCAGAGAACGCTCTATCGTGTTTTTCGACCCGGGCGTGTCTCCTCGACTGCGGCCTCTGAGGCTCGCCATCGGACCCCAGGGCAATCAGAAATGGACGCAGGACGAAAAACCACCCGTGGGGAAGGGGTCGGGTGCTCTGGGCCCGCGGATTGAAAACAAATCATATCGGAAGATGTTTGGGAACTCTTGGAAACCCGCGCGGATTCCACCGCGACCCCCCCCCTCCAAGAGGAGGAGGAGGAGGAGGAGGAGGAGGAGGAGGAGGAGGCGGCGGAGGTGGAGGAGGAGGAGGAGGAGGAGGGGGAGGAGGAGGAGGAGAAGGAGGAGGAGGGGGAGGATAAGACGCTGTTGGCGGCCGCCGCGCGTCAGCACAAGCTGGCACATCATAAGGAGAGGGTTCAGAAAAAGGCCCCTTCAAGTCCCACGAGAATATCTCGGCAGCGATGCGCGGGCAACATGAAATATGGAGGGGGCGGCCACGCACTATGAGAGAATGAATGCCAGGCTGCCCAAATTTAACTCGGGGGCCGAGGCTCGACGAGGAGCCTCAGCCAGTGAACTTCGGGTCCGGGATCTAAGGGCCCTAGAGGCCTGGGTCCAGAGAGCAGCCGTTCGTCAACCCGCCTTTCGTCGGCAGGCCTCCTAGCAAGAAGCAGCCGTCGATTCCTGGCGGCTCTGTCGGACTGTGAGCCTCGTCAGGGCGACAGTAAATGCTCAGCTGATCCCGTGGCAAAGATGCCACAGGAGACGCACAAGACACACTGTTCAGGAGAGACCCACAACCTGTGGCCTCGCGAGGCCGAAGCGGGAATGATGCCCGAGGTCGGGACGGGGGCGGCGGGAACCGTGAACTCGGCCAAAGGCGGCCGATTGCTCCTGCCAAGTCCTGTGTGTCGCCGCTTGGCCACAGGGACGAAGGCTAGCCTTTCTCTCGCTGGGATATGTTGCATGTCGGCGGTACTCCTTGCCTCACTGCGGGCCGCCGGGACATCCGAAGGAACCAAAATCTGATCGGCAGCGTTGCGAAGCTCTCCTGCATCTACAGAGGCTGTGTGCGTAGTGCTATCAAGCGCGACACGCTGGCGTGTGCAGCGGTCAATGTCTTCGGGACATGGGTTCTCGAGCTGCACTGAAGGTTTCAAGCGCTGCCGACGGGCCTCTTCGGGCCCCTCATTAGCTGGCCACCTCACCCCCTCCCTGGAGTCGGTCCCAGGAGCCGAACGGGTAGGGGAAACTACCGGATCCGCGGGAGCCGGAGCGTGGCCGTCAGCCTCGGTGCCTGACGAGGCTGATGGCGTCGGCCCTCCTCTGTGACGAACATTCGCCTGTGCCAAGCTCAAACGCTCCAGAAGCCCCGGTGAGGTCGGGAAGAATGTAAACGGCTTCAAAACCACGAGCACCCGCGAGGCCGCGGGCCACGCACTCTCCGCGCTGAAGGCGTCTGGGGACTCTGCCAGCCCCAGCGCTCTTCTGTCAAAAACTGCATCGTGAGACACCCTGCGCATCGTCAAGATGATGACGGAGTGGAAAGGGGAAAGCCGTCGGGACCACTTGTGCTCCACGGGTCCTCAACGGCTTGGGGTGGCAAAAAAGTCACGACGCGCCCCTCACTGAGAGGATGCAGACGCGCAGCCGCAAGCCAATGCAACGCTTGTCGGGTCGACCTGAGAGCCAGTTTCATCGCCCGCGTGCATGAATTCCAAACCTGATGCCTTCGAACGTGGGTGACCAATCGTTCGCCAAATGCTTCCCCGCAAGTTGGAGTCGGGCCGTCTAGGGCCACGAGTGAACCCCTGTTACAGGGCAAGCTCGTCCAGGATCCTAAGATGGTCAGTAAATACATGCACAAGGAATGCGCGCTTCTTAAGCCTTCACGAGCGCAAGCGGCCCAGCCCTCAGAGACCCCTGCATGGGCCCAGGGAAGGAGCCATAAACCATCAAGTCAAGCGCAAGGGCATAACTATGGAATCCCAATCCTGGTCTCGACAGCTCTGGCCAAAACCTTGCTTTTCTGCTGGCTCGATCTGCGAAGTTGTCTCCCGCGACCATGCCCAGCGAACCGCGCTGCAACTGCCGGCGTTCACTGTCGCCCTCCTGGGCGGCGCGGGGAAGCATGGGCGCGAGGCCCTTCTGCGCGTCCAGGACCAAGGGCCCTGTGAGCACGTTAGAAAAGCCTCGCATTCTGTGTTGCCTAGCAAGGCCTGCCGCTGTTGTTCGCGCCCAGTGACCCCCCGTGCGAGGTGACATAGCGCGCGAGCTTCACAAAGGGCAAAACGGACAGCAAACGGCCCTAGAATAATCAGGTTTGCGCAAGCGGCTCGGCGCCCAGAAACCACCGCCACCAATCGTGCGAGGCGCGTCACTTTCGTGGTGCGTCGGGGCCCAAGTAGAGGTCTGAGAAGGCTGCTCATCGCCGGGGTCGCTGTCCCCTGCAGGCTCTTCTGGAGTATCTTTGAATAATCCAACTGTAGGCTCCATCCAATGCCCCATGGGCCCTGCGGGGTCCATGTCGTCGTCGGCGGGGCTTGGCCGTTTGGCCCGAGACCCCCGCGCGCGGCGCAGCGGCGCGCGCCATATCACAAGCATTGACAGGGGCGCCCACTTGGAGATCGAGCTGGCCCCCCCAGGTCCGCGGCGAGGGCGAAGGCCGAGACCGCCAACTTAGGTCGCGAAGGGAAAGCAAATCACACAAATGGCGCCCGCAACCTTATCCCACGGCTTCGAGGCCTGCGGCGTGCGAAAACCTGGACGATGCCACGCCTGCTGCAACGCGCCATGAGAGATCGGTGCCGAACCAGGAGAGCCCACTGGACTGTCGGTTGCGCCCAGCAGTAAACCTGCGGATCATCGCCCATGGACCCCTGAAGGCTGGGCGAATCCCATGAGGAAGTAGAGGCCCCCTGGGGCATGTGCCGCCCATCGCGTTTCACATCTGCTGGGCTAGCAGTGGTGGTGGGGGCCCATGGGCCCCAACTCCAGACTGCATGGCTGCGGGCAGCGCATGGCGTTCGGATCGAATACGGCATGCCCTCCCTGGCGCCCCCCAACTACGCCCCCGCGAGTGGCGTGCTAATGCCCGCGCGCGCCCCCGAAGGCTGATAACCGGGGCGACGCGCCACTCCCCGCCATCAGGGCGATGACGAACGTCGCAGGAACAAAGATGCATCTGGCTACGCATGCTAAGCTATATTGAGTAAGCGTAGCCAGGGCATCCGCATCATCAGGTGCAGTCGATCGAGAACCACTCGGCTCGCTTAGCTCTGTCGTGCGTCCTATTCTCAGCTGGGGCCCATGCTATGCAGCTA